TATTTCACTCAGCATAATGTTCTCCAGAGTCAACCATTTTTAATAATATTGCATGAGTTCCTTGTTTTTCAATGCAGCATAGTATTCCATTGTGCGAATATACCACAGCTTCTCTAGCCATTTGTTTGTTGATGGGCACTTAGGTTGTTTTCTACTCCTTGCTATTGTGAACAAAGCTTCAATAAACATGGGTGTTTCTGCAGCTTTTCTGTTTCACTATTAATTGTGTTGTTTGCTGTCAAGGTGGAACCGACCCATAGCTGATCCTTCAGTGAGTTTTCAGAGGCAATAAATCACACGGGGCGAGATTATCCGTCTTCCCCGGTGCAGCTGGTGGATTTGAACCAGCTGCCCTTGAGATTGCAGTACAGCTTCTTACCACTCGGCCACCGGAGCTTTCTGCAAGTTTCACAACTAGTTGTCATTTGTAACTGTCTTAGTTCAGTCATCCTGGGGCATGGTATGACGTACTGGACTCCTAATCAAAAGGTCAGCAGTTGAGCTCCATCAGACGTTCCTCTGGAGAAGATGGACTGTCCATTTCCGTTAAGATTTGTAACCCAGAAACCCAGGAAAGGGTCACACTGAGTCAGTCAATGGGTTCTTTAATAGCCTACTTGGGCTCTGACTCAGAATCGGCCTAGGCAGCACTGATGTGTATCTGAATTGAACACTGGGCCTTAATTTTGAAATAACTCTTTATGTTTGTTGACTGAGATGCTCCATCCCTGCTCCCACCCTCTGATTTTGCGTTGTCCTGTGTGTCTTTGCAGGAAGACTGGATGGATTCAGATAAAGAGTTCCCCATTGAATCCACATTCGTCCACATCCGGGACACCCCCTCTGAACAGGAGAGCAAGATCCTCCTCCTGGCTGAAAACGGGGAGCGTACCTACACGGTCAACCACGAGACCAGCCAGCCCCCTCCAGCCAAAGTCTTCGTGTGTGACAGTCCCGAGACTCTGAAGGAGTGCCTTCAGCCTCCCCGTCCGGGCAGCCTGCCCAGCTCCACGTCCCCAGAGCTGATGCATGAGATCATCGACCACGGCCTCCAGGGGGTCCCCAGCAAGGGCAGCGAGCCCTCCCCAGAGGTGTCCATCCTGTCCTGTAGAAAGGAGAACCGCAGGGCCAACTCCCTGCCGATCAAGAAGACCGTCCACTTCGAGGTTGATTTTTTCAAAGATGCTTCTTGCAGCAAAGACCCTTTCTACAGTCAGAGGCTTTCCTTAGACGGGATCCCACAAGGGACAGAAGAGTCTGTGAAGCAGAAGAGATGCTCCTCGGCTCTTGCGGTTAATGAAGAAGAGAAAGCAAAGCAGGAAGTCTCAGAGCCCCCGGCAGCAGCCCCCGACGAGCCCCCTGTCGGCGTTCCTCTGGTCAGTGACTCGTCCTCCTCGAGTCTCCTCGCCTCCAATGGGCCCCTGGAGACTCCAGTCCACCCCGTGGGGGAGTGTCCCTCCGACAACACCATTATGGCCAATTCCTTTGAGGTCAAGGTGCCACTGCTGAGCGTAGACTTCGTCGATAAGGAAGACTCTTTGGAAGCTATCCCTTTGAAAGCCTCAAAGTTTAACAGCGACCTGGAGGATTTCACAGATTTTGCGTCCACCAGCCAAGCTTTCAGGGAGCCTCCCTCCAGTCACCAAGACAAGGTTGTGCAGCAGGACAGGGCCGAAGGACACGCGGAAGAACTGGGCAAAAGGAGCGCCAAGTCTGCCCACAAAAAGGACGACGCAGACAGGACCCCCAGGGACCCTGGAGAGGACGCGCAAGGCTCCTCGCTGACCCCCGAAGAGGTGCCCCTGAAACCGGAGGTGTACGAAAAGGCCAAGCAGAAGTCCGTGCGTCAGGACAGCAATGACAGCCAGGGGGCGGAGGAGTTTGGGGAGGACGATGAGGAGCTGCCCTCCAATCCCCCAAGCAGCAGCGTCAGCCTGGAGACCCTCAGGAGCCACAGGAAGGAGGGCCTGAACTTCAGACCCTCCCCTCCCCTGTCCAAGGTCTCGGTCATCCCCCACGACCTCTTCTACTATCCGCACTACGAGGTGCCCCTGGCCGCTGTCCTGGAAGCCTACACCGAGGGTTCTGAGGACTTGAAGACGGAGGACCCCGACCTCGACGGGCCCAGCGGCTACCTGCAGGACCTGGACACCGGGGACGACCAGACCGATGGCTCGCAGAGCAGCTGCAGTTTCTCGGTGACCGACATGGACCTTCCTGGCACCAGTGACCGGATGTCCTGTCCCGACAGCCAGGCTGTGGACGCCCAGCCAGGCCCAGAGCCTGCGCCCTCAGCTCTCCACGAGGACGACCAGCAAGGCGGGACCACAGAGGACAACCAGGTACTTGGTTTGTGGAGAGTTTTGGGGTGCCCACCTCGTGCACTATGACTTGTCCCTGAGGGGTTGTGCATTTGCTCCTGCAAGGTTAGAGCACCTCGCTGCTCCCCTTCTGATCTGCAGGAGGAAGATAAGGCCGTCTGCCTCCCTGGAAACCCGAGGGGGCAGTTCTGCTCAGTCCTGCGCAGTGGAATGGCCTGAGTTTGGCTGGGTTTTTAGTTTTAGTGAGCAAAGTCCTACAGGCGTCAGTTTAAGGAGGCACCTCATTCACAGGCTCCAGCAAGTGAATGTGAACCCTGAGAATGAGAGCCTCCTTAAATGTGGAGCCCTGGCCTTCTGCTGGCCTCTTCTCAGCCCCATCCCTGCCCCCGAGGATGAAAGAGGGTCCAGTGAGGTCACCTTGGTGGGGGCAGAAGAGGGTGCTAGTGTTCAGTGCCAGTTAGTCTGACTCTTAATGATTCTGTCTACAACTCAGCAGAACCCTGCCGTATCCTTCCATCTTCACAGGGTCTGCTGGGCGTAAGCCTGTCGTTACAAACACTGTGTCTGTCCCCCTCATCGAGGTTCTTGCTCTCTTCCACTGATTCTCTTTTCCAAGGGCTAGCCCCTCCTGACATCATGCCCAAAGAATGGGAAACGATGTTCCTCCATCCTCACCTTCAGGGAGCATCGTGGTGGCTCTTCCTCTGTGACAGACTGGTTTGTGCTTTACGCATTCGATGGTGTATCAGTGCTGCCTTGGTCTTCCCCAATCATTGTCCAGGTTTCCCATGCCTCTGAAGCAATGGACTATGGCTGCACCCTTCAGCCTGTCTCACGTCTGAGACTGGTTCCCTTGTTAAAGCAAATGATAGCTGTACAGAGGGTCCAACCGTTGACCCCTGTGAGAGCTGTCCTTTAGAGACCACACTGATGCACATAGGGAAGAGGTTGGTGCTTAAGATGCCCATTCAGGAGAGTTCTTGGTCAGCACCAGTGGAACAGCCCTGGCCAGATAAGAAAAAGGTTGGCAGTTCAAACTCAGTCTGAGGCACTGCGGATGTAAGCCTGGCTGTTTTCTTCCTTGAGAACACTGTGGCATGCAGTTCTATTCTGCAAGATCATGGTGCCACTGTGAGTCAGAAACCACTGAATGACATTCAGTAGCTGCGTGCCCATTTGACAGACAAGGAAACCAAAGCCCAGACATGTAAAGTTAGTTGATGAAGGTTCTGTTAGCCAGCATTTGAGATCTTATTCTAAAATCCTGCTGTCTTGACCCTCTCAAGTCTCAGGGTCGGGGTTTTTTCTCAGGGAGCCGGAGCTGGGCAGGACCATGGCCCATGGCAGCTGTGTGGACCAGTCCAAGGGAGAGGCAGAGTGGAGGGAGTACCTGGCTGGGCCTTGGGGTCTGGATAGAGCTCGGCTGGCATGTTACTCGTTCATCTTGAGATAAAATACTGACTCGTGTTTGCTCTTTTTAAGTCCCAGGGACCCCTACTCTCAGAGAAGTTAGAGAAACCTGTAGAAGAAAAGGTCGCCCCAGAATCCACCAGCAGTAAAAAAAAGGAGAAGAAGAAGCACGTGGACCACGTGGAAAGTTCCGTATTTATAGTGCCCGGAACCGTCCGGTCCTCAGATGACCTCGAGGACGACACTGCTGATTTCAGAATCCCCTCCAGGTAATTGATTTCCGGTGTCTTCCTGTCTGGGGTGGCTCTCCTAGCCCGTGGGGCGTCCACTTCTCACTCACAGGCCGCTCTGAGCAGAGTGGACATCTCCTGTGGTTTCCAGCCTCAGAGCCCGGCAGAAGGTCAGCTTTGAGTCAGTGCCAGCCAGATGGCAGTGACATTGAGGCTTTTCTGAGGTTTTCTGCCCGAGACAGTGGAGCTCAAGTTGCTCCCTGAACTCACCCTGTTTTCAGTTAATGACTTGGCGTGGGAGTGCAGGAGAGAGCGTGGACAACGGCCAGCTGGATCCATGCGGAATTCTGTGTTTTCAGGCCGAGTCGCCGCCCTGACTCGGCCGTTACCAGCCCCGGTCGTGAGCACCAGGGGTGGAAGGACGTGAAGCTTCCTTCTCCTCTTGGCCGCCGTGTACCCAGGTGTCTCTCTGGGTCACTGTGCACCCAGGTCCACGGCGTCCAGAGTGAACAGCCGAATGGCTGAGCCGTGGGTCGGTGTGGCCTGAGAGATTAGGAGGCGAGATGCCTCCGGCTGCCTCCTGACCCCAGAGCATCGTGGGTTGGGCTGATTAGGGTCACGCATGGCCATCATAGTATCACGCTGACCCAACCCAGGCACACTGAAGTGGCCTGCTACCCCTGTGGCTGCATGTGGACATTAGAACAGCTGCCCACACACATTTATTTAACTCCAAAGCAATGATGAGAGTAGATTTGGAAGGGAGGATGGGTGTGGGGACAGTAACAAACTTGATCCAATCCACGGGAAGCTGTGACGTGCCTCCTCTCAGTCACTCCAAGGCCGTCAGATGATGGATTTGTCCCGGGCACGTACGCACATAACCCTGAGGGTCAAGGCCTCTCCCCATTGTGATCGTCATCTCTCAGGGATTCTGTGTTGGCTTTGCAAGAGCGGGCTCTGGCCTCCCTACTACAGACGAGGAAGGTGGGGTGTAGATAACCTCCCCAAGACTATCTCCCTTAGGGAAGGGCAGAGTGGGGGCCTACGACCTCAGTGTCCATGCTGTTTGCATGAGATGTGCGCTTGGACTTGGGCAGGGGAAGCAAACAGAGCCCCACAGGGACTTGCAGCTTTTTGCCTCCTTTCTGTTTCCGTTCCTGGGCAGTGGGGGAAGCAGAGGCAGAGATGAGGAGAGGCAGGGAGGAAATGGAGAAGTCACAGAATCAGGTGACAGGACTCTGGTCTGGGAACAGGGTAGCCCAGCAGACGTCCATGCCTTCAGTGGCCTGTCCTACTGTCACCTCTTCTTACTGTCATGCAGGCAGACACCCAAGGACAAAATGACCAGGCCACCAGCTTCTGTACCGCAGCTCGTTTGCCAAAAGGGCCACAGGTCGTGTGCCAGGCCCCTCGGCTTCCTTCTCAAGCAGGGAGGCCTCAGATTCTTCTGAGCTGGCACTGCCTCCTGGGGTCAGCCGGGCTGGGTGGACCCGGGGTAGAGAGGATGGCACCATCTTGTCCACCAGGATAGGGAGGGGAACGTCCAACAGGCACATGAAGAAATGTTCAAAATCCCTAGCTCTAAGAGACAGGGAGCAGGACAGAAAGGGTGGTGAGTGGAGGGGGAGTATCACGCCTCAGACGTCAGAGGTAGAAGAGGACCAGGGAGAGCGGGGCTGGGGTGTCTGTGAGCTGAATGTGGGGGTGTAAGGAGATTGGGAGCAGGAGCGACAGGCATTCTGGTGAGAGAGGCAGCGTGAACACGCGGCCGCCACGCACCAGGCTCTGTTGTAAATATTTGTGGCAGGAAGGCCTGAGAGGCGGGAGGGTGAGGTCCCCTGAGGAATAGTGAGCCCCTTGGGGATGTACGTAGACCAGGAAGCAGAAGCGAAACCTCTTCCAGGGAGGATGAGCCAGTGTGGGCACAAGCTGAAAAGCAAACGGATATATCCGGGCAGTCGGGCAGGAGGCCACGTTGACTTTGCAAGGCGGACATCGCCTTACTGTATTTTGTTGATGATGTGCCCAGGCAGACAGTATATACTTACATATAGTGTGTGTCACGGGCTTGTGATGCCCAGGCACAGGGGGGCGCAGGGTCTGCAAAAACCTAGCACAGCACACTGACGCTATGTACGTAAAAACACGGTAGGCTGGGGAGCTCCGGTGGCCTGGTGGCAAGAAGCTGCACGACAATTCCAAAGGCTCAGGGTTCAAATGCACCAGAAGCTCTGCCGGAGAAGGAGGGGCAATCTCCTCCTCTGCCAGTCGGATACAATTCAGACGGTACACACCAAAAAAAAAAACAACCAAACAACCAAAAAAAAACCATAAAATAAAATACAGTAGCCTGCACTCTGGGCGGGCAGACATGGTCCTGTCCAGCTTCTCCCTGCCCCTCAGCTCAGGGACGCTGTCTGTGTGTTAGGCGAGGTCACAGCTACTGCCCGCAGGTAGTACATCAAGACAGATGCATGAGGAACCAGGCACCGTGGTGAGTGCCAGGACCCGCTTCTGCCCCAAAGAACTGACAGCAGACACAGAGGAGGCAGATTACGTCATTAAATAATTCACCCAAATGGGTCTAATGAGCAAAAAAAGTGTACATTCAGCATTATACTCATAACCCTTTGCTGACCCATGAGACATATGGCTCCCAATATAATATATTCAGCCTCTTAGTTTTCTTCGGATCACTTTTTCGTTTATAGCAGATGTTGCCAGCTTATGGGGACCTGTGTAACTACATAAATCTGAAGAAATGAAACTTTTCCCACCAATCCTACCACTGTCTCCTTGGGACACATGTGCCCTGCATATATCACAGTGTATGTTTTTATGTGTCATCGAGTCACCTGCAGCTCATAGCGACCCTGTGTACAGCACGTCTGAACCTGCCCTATCCTGAGCCAATCTCAGTGACTCCAACACATCTAATCCCATTGCTCTAGTTATCATGTCAATCCATCTCATCCAGGGACCTCCTCTCCTGTGCTGTCCCTCCACCCTTCCAAGTGTATGTCCTTCTCCAAGGATTGGTCCTTCTGTCTACATGCCCAAAGTATGTGAAACAGAGCTTCAAATTCCTTGACTCCAAGGAGAAACTTGGTTTCACCCTAAGACACACCATGGTATATTCAGAACTATTCTCCAGTACCATATCTCAAAGGCATCGATTCTTCTTCTGTCATCCTTAGTCATTGTCCGGCTCTCTGATGTATAGCAAGTAAATGTGAAGACCGTGGCCTGGATCAGGTGCACCTTAGTCTCTAGACTGACATCATTGCTCCTCAGCACTCTGGAGAGATCCCTGACAGCAGACTTCCCCAGTGCAGCTTGGTTTTTGATTTCCTGACTGTTAGTGCCAAAAGTGTTGATTGTGGAGCCAAGCAAGCTGTAATTGTTAACAATCTCAATCTCTTCATCTATCATGGTGCTGACAATTGGCCCGTTGGTGAGAATCTTTGTCTTTTTGATGTTGAGCTTCAATCCATATTGAAGGCTGCAGTCCTTGGCCTTCTGAAGCAAATGCTTCAGGTCTTCCTCAGTTTCAGCAAGGAAGGTTTTATCATCTGCGTTACACAGATTGTTGATGAGTCTTCCTCCAATCCTGATGCCACACTCTTCCTAATAAAGTCCAGCGTCTCAGATGATCTGTTCAGCGTATAGATTGAAAAACTATGGAGACAGGACACATCCCTGATGCATTCCTTTCCTACTTTTGAACCATGCAGTGTTTTCTTGCTCTGTTCTGACATCTGCATCCTAGTCCAAGTATATGTTTCACATGAGCACAATCAGGTTTTCTGAGATTTCCATTCTTCTCGAGGTTAGCCACAATTTCTTGTAATCCACACAGTCAAATGCTTTTGCATAGTCAATGAAACACAGACATTCCTCTAGTACTCTTTGCTTTCTGCTAAGATACATTTGACATTGGCAATTATGTCTCTGGTGCCACTGCCTCTTCTAAATCCAGCCTGTATTCCTGGTAGTTCTCTGTTGATGTACTGTTCCAGACGTTTTTGGATAAACTTCTGCAGGATTTTGTTTGCGTGTTACATTGTATACTATTAATTAGTAATATTGTTCAATAATTTCCATACTCTGTCACATCACCCTTTTTTGGAATAAGAATAGTAATAAACATGGATCTCTTCCAGTCAGGTGGCCAAGTAGTTGTCCTCCACATTTTTTCGTACAACCTTGTGAGCAGCAGGTCCAGGGCAGAATCTGTTGAAATATATCAGTTGGTATGCTGTCCATTCCTTGAGGCCTTGTTTTTGTTTTTTGTTTCATGGTGAGAAAAAGTTGTTTTTAGAATTAGCCAGCTAGACTCAGTTTAGATGATCCCAGTTTTGTTGGTACCATCCAAAGCATCATAGTCAGGAGCAAGTTGAACATAGGCCTTCTTCTCTCCATCAGGCTTAATCAAAGTGTTGACCTTGGCCACATCAGTGTCACAGAGCTTCTTTACAGCTTGTTTGATTTGGTGTTTGTTGGCCCTGACATCCACAATGAACACAAGTGTGTTGTTATCTTCTGTCTCCTTCATGGCTGACTCAGTGGTCAGGGGAAACTTGATGATGGCATAGTGGTCAAGCTTGTTTCTCCTGGGGACACTTTTCCAGGGGTATTTGGGCTGCCTTCGGAGTCTCAGCATCTTAGACTGCCGGAAGGTGGGTGCCATATACCAATCTTCTTTTTTTTTGGCTGTGCATGCCCTTCAGGACGCTTTCTTGGCCTGTAATGCCTTTGCTTTGGCTTCAGTTTTGGGAGGGCCAGGGGCTTCCTTCTTCACTTTCGGCGCCTTGTTTTTTGCTGATTCCTTCAGAGCAGCTTGAATTAACAGGAAAGAAAAGAATCCCAAAATTTCGGCATGCCTTCCATTGCTGAAAGTGCATGGTATCAACCAAAAATTCAAAGCAGAAAATAAAATCATTAGATCAGGAAAAGATTAAAGCATTCCACTGTATCATCAGATGACCACAGGAAAGGTGGCACAACTTGACAGAGGTGACCGCTGGCACTGAGCTGTGCGGGCAGGAATGGGTGAAGTGCTGTGTGCTCTGCTGTGTGTCTTCTCACCAGCGTGAATGAACAAATGAGCATTCACTGCCTGTCACTGGTCTCCACGGGCCGGCTCTCTCAGGGGACGCCTCTGGGCTCCAGAGACCTTGTAGAAGCCTTTGCTCATTCCCATATTGTGCAATGGGCCAGGGGGCTTGAGCACGAGTTCTGGAGTGTGGACAAGCGCTGGCATCTCTCTAGGGCTGGCACAGGTCAGGTGCTTCTGTAACTAAGTGGAAAAGTGGAAGCGCTTTGTGAATTTTCCAGATAGCAGTGGGCAGGAATGCCAGGGCTGCCGTGGTGAGTTCCCAGGAAGGAACTCCTGGCTCAAAGGACTGTCCCGGGACACTTGGCAGCTGTCCCTCGGGGAGGTGACACTCCCTGAACCCAGGCACCCAGGACCCAGTTCGTTCATAGACACCAAGCAGCAACAGACACCACCCCTCACAGCAGACTGTCACCCTCTCCAGCCCCATCGTCCATGCAGTGGGCGGAGTGGGGATGATGGTCCTTTATGCTGACAGGAAAAGCTATCAGAGATATGCGTGCTTAGCCCGCAGGCCTGCAGCCCAGGCCCTGGGGTGCCTCTGGCCTCAGCACCTGGGCATGCCACCTGTAGGAGGCATGGGAGTGCTCTCTACCTCGGCCTCAAAGAGACAGTCAGAAAATGAACCTCCTTGTGTTGAAAAGGAAAGGAGAAAGTCTGCCCGTGAGTGGGCACTGGGGAGCTGCGGCTGGTCTGGGCGAGCGCTGGAAAGGGAGTCTAGCTAACAGGTCTGACTCGACGTCTAACTCTAGCTTGTAGAGGGCTTCCGGCAGGTTCCAAGATGTTGGGACACTTGGAAAAAAAATGCTCCCTCCTTTCCCACCTGCACCCGCATGCTTTCCAAGAATGCTTGATCTGTTTTGTAACCTAGATTCTGGCTTAATCTCTGTTTTTTTCTTGTAGCTTGGGCCCTCAGTGTGCCCTCCCAACATCTACTCTGCCCCTTGTAAACACCTTCCAGCTGAGCAGATGCAGTGGATGTTGTTGTTGTTGTTGTTGTTGTTGTTGTTGTTAGGTGCTGTCCAGTCGTAGACGACTCATAGCGACCCTGTGAACAAAAGGCCTGAGCACTGTTCATAGAGTTTTCATAGCTATTTCGGAAGTGAATGCCACGCCTGCTTCCAAGCTTGTTTTAATCGGGGAGCTCCAGCAAACACTGTCCACCTTGGGTAACCATGATCACATTTGGCACATCAGTGTCACAGTGTCTAGCATCACAGCAACCACAAGTTACCTCTGTACAGCAAATGGACAGACCAGTGCTAGACCACCAGAAGAATGTTTGACAAAAAAAAACCCAATTTGAATGAGGCCTGAAGGCTGCAGATTAAAATCACCCACCTTTAGCTTGGTAGCAAAACTTTCTGTCCATTAGGTCAACGTAGCTCTATGTTGTCGTTGTTGTTATTGTTAGGTGCCATCGAGTTGTAGACGACTCATAGCGACCTTATGAATGAAAGACCTGAGCACTGGTGGATAAATGGGTCTAAAATCCTCGCTTGCCCAGATCCCAGCCTGGAGGCCAGCCTGGGTTGGAAGGGGGGGCTCAAGACTGCTGTCTGCAAGGCGGAGAGTTTGAGATGGAGGCCCTGGGGCAGGAGAAGTCTTGGGATAGCAGAGAGCGTGCATTGACACCATTCAAAACATGTGTTTGTTTTTCAGGACTAGTCACAGCGACTCCAGCATTTACATCCGACGGCATAGTAATAGGTGTTTGGAATCGGTTAGTATGTCACTCCGTTCCCCCCTCGCGCCCACCCCGCTAATCATGTCCTTTGCATCCTTCCTCCACCCCAGCCCAGAGTATTGAAATTACTGACGGGCACCTGCGATGCTTTGGGATGGAAGACACGCAAAGTGAACCCTTGCTTAGCACAGTCCAGGCGGATTCCCACTTGGGGCAATAAGGGATCAAAATAAAGTGATGATTTCAAAGCCAGAAGGCCTCTTTGTTATCAAACAAACAAGATGCATCTAAGGCTCCCCCCCCCCAATAAAAGGGTCACATGCAAAAACGTGGGGGTGCAGCATGCAGGTGGAGGGTCCTGTTTAGCCCAGATGACTTGGGGACCCCACTCAGCCATGGTCCAGGTGCTGCTCAGATTCCGTCAGGCCACGGGGTGGGCGGCCCGGGAAGGCGGCAGGGTAACACACACGTCATTGTTTAGCAGTTTGGAACTTTGAGGACAGCATGGTGTGCTCGGCTTTGTGTGTTTAAAATCGCTTTATTTTCTGTTTCAGAGATTTCATCTTTACTAATTGGGTTGCGGGGGTTTTGTTTATAAATTTCACTGTAGGATCATTTTAGCTATGTTCAGTTGAGGAATGCAGCCGATATGGACGACAGGAGGAACCGAATGTTAACAAGGTGGGTGGAAGCTTGGTGGGTTTGGCGTTTATGTTTTTAATCACACAGCCTAGTTTTGGGGTGGGGGAGCCAATTTGCTCATGATGCTTTGCTGATATTTGGGGGTGATTGATGTAAGAGAATGCACATGCTGTGGAATGAATGGAATTGAGCATTCCTGGGAGGGAATAGAGAGATTAGGCAGGGCCTGTGGGCAGGGGGTGACTTGCTCTGGAGATAGGCTGGGTCCTCAGCGTGAACCTGCGCTTCTGTGAGGCCGTGGCCGGAGGCAGGCGGCCAGGGTCGAGGCAGGGTCTTGGGGTGCTGTGTGCTCTGCGCTGCGGAACCTGACCTCTGTCCCTTCTGTGTCACCACTGCAGGTATAATACTCAGAAGCTCACTGAGCTGATTTTACAGTTTTATGGCATCAGAGCAGACATGAAGCGGGAGTGCAAGCGTAACAGGATGACTATGAAAGTATCCCCTGCTCGCCGGGGCTCCCCGGTGCTGAGCTGCCGTAGAGCTGCCCCGTTAGAACGCAGGGAGCAGAGAAAGCGCCCCACGTCCCAGCCCCGATTCCAGCCACACTCACTGCCTCCTTTCCTTTGACTCCATTTCTAAATGTTGGCCGTGCACTCAAGCCCTTAGGCTTGGATGGTTGGAATGAAAAGCCTCTGTTGGAATCCTAAAGAAGTTCTAGTGGTTAAAGCATTTGGCTGCTGACCAACAGTTGGGCAGTTCAAACCCACCAGCCGGTGTGAGCGAGAGCAATGTGGCAGTCTGCTCCCGTGAAGAGCCCTCTAGGGCGGTTCTGCTCTGCTCTGCCCCGCCGGGGTCATTATGAGTTAGAATCCATTCACAGCTGTGGTTTGGGGCTAGAATCTTGCCCTGCACCTAGGAGTGTGGCGTCTAGGAGTGTGGCGTGTATCACACCACCCTTCTAACTCCTAATTGAGGCCAAATAAGCTTCCTGGCTACTGTCATGGAACGTTTATTTCCATTTCCAACCAGCCTTGGCACATTCTGCGATATTTATACTGTTGGGTTCTAAGAAGTAGTGACTTTAAACACAAAACCTGCAGAGCTAGGAAGCCCAGCGTTATTTTTTATGTTTTCAAGAGTTCACAGCAGGCTCTCGGCCACTAGCTGAAAGGCAGGCCGTTTGAGCCGCCCTGGGGTCCCTAGGAAGAAAGGACTGGAAATCTGCTTCCACCAAGTCACAGCCTTGAAAACGAGACGAGGCACAAGTATTCTGTGCACATCTGGGGCCAGAACAGGCTCAGCGGCAACTGCCAAAAAGAATGATTTTCAAAAAATCATTTCCATTTGTTCTAACAATAGATTTAAGGAAGCGAAAGAAGTGTTAGCAAGTTCATTTTCTCTGTGTATTAGTTTTATCAGTGGGGGCAGATGTTTAATCGCCTTTGGGCTCCACCCCTTCCTGTTGTCCAGAGGCAGTTAGTTCAGCCACGGGGCAGTTCGGAGCCTTCGTGAGACCACCCCAAAGATGCTCACATTGGGGCCTTGCCGCTGAAGTCCCCGGGTCCAGTCAGATCATGACCGCTCCTCCTTTTCCAACCACACTGTCACTTTCTGGGCTTCCTTCGTATCTCCTCAAACAACAAAATATCCAGAGCACAGGTGGCATCGTGGTAGAGTGCTTAGCTGCTAGCCAGAAGGTCAGTAGTTCAAATCTCCAGGCCTTCTCATAGCAGAGACACAAGGCACTCTGCCCCAGTAAAGATTTACACCCTTGGAAGCCTGAAGGGGCAGTTCTGCTTTGTCCTCCAGGGTCCCTACAAGTTAGAATCGAGCCTGTATAAAACAAAAAAGATAAATTGACCAAAAAAATAATAATAATCATCAAGTCCTTTTATCTTAAAACTACAAACTTTTGAGGGTGGAGTGTCCATTCGATTCCCTTCCAATGGCTGTGTTAGATGCTTCTGTGGTCTGGGAACTCCCTTCACTGCTGGGTGACAGAGAGCTGGCAGTAGCAGGTTCTCAAACAGTGACGTCTGTGAGGACCCCATGGCGTAATAAGCAGAAAGGCTGAAAGCTAGGCTCTGCCGTAGACCTCGTGACCTCGGGCGGGGTCTGGGTCTCAGCTTGCCCGTCTGAGGAACGCATCCCCACCTCCTCCTGGAGCTTCAGGACCAAGAGCTCAGAGCACTTGGCACGGGGGCCGCACACACAGTGCTGGGGGTTCCCCCCAGGACCTCAGGGGCAGTGAGGGTGGAGTCCAGGGGGCAGTGCGGAGTCCAGGGAGCCGGGGACCCTCTTGTAACCACTCGCCTTTCTCTTCCCTCCTCCAGGAAGGCCAACAACTCGGGCGAGGCCAGCGGACTGGGCAGCCAAAGCCTGCCGAACAACGACTCCCTGACCCAGCTGGTGCAGCAGCCAGACACCGTGTACTTCATCCTCTTCCTCTGGCTCCTGGTGTACTGCCTGCTGCTCTTCCCCCAGCTGGACTTCAACAGGCTCTGATGCCCGTGTCTGGACAATAAAGACGGCCGGACGCTGAGCGGGCAGCTGCTGCAGACTTCGTTTCTTCGTGGGTCTGGCCTGGGTGCTTCTGTAGACTTGACGAGACGCCGCCTCTGCTTCCCCTTTCGTGTATCTTCCTTTCCCTTCCTCTCTCTCCGTAAGGCCTGAACGTGCTTCCTCTGCGGCCAGGGTCTCAGAACATGGGTGCGTGGCTTTGTAAGAGCCTCGGGGCTAAGTGTCGCCGAAAGCTGGGTGTCAGTTGTCCCAGATGCAGTTCTCAGGGTCCTGGGCAGAGCTGGGTCACCGACCTCACGGGTGAGGGTCCACCTGCTGAGGGGGAAAGTGGGCGCCCCAGGCCGAGCCCCCGCTGGGAGAAGGTGCTGGGTTTACCAGGTGAACTCTTGTCATCTGTGGTCATAGTAGGGTGGTCTTGGGAGGTGTGAGCCACGCACAGTGGCCACGTGAGGGACGTGGCTGGGCCTTCATGCTGAGAAGTGGCACGTTTGCTTTTCTTTTGTTTGTGAAATGAGAAAGCTCCTTTTAAATTCACTCTTGCACAGAGAGGAACAGAACTATAGCATCTGAACCCTTCCCACCAGCAGAAGGCTCTTTGCAAATGCAGACTCGGGATCAGAGGCATCCAGACCCCCAAAAGTGGGCTTCTGGGAGCCAGTCTTGCTTCCCTAGAGTTTCAGGAACAATGCCACATGAGGTGACTTTGAAGAACAGAGTCGTCTTCTACACAACCAGATTCAGAGCACTGGCTCTCAGGACGGCCACTCTTTGGGGTGCTGGTGCCAGCCTTCACCTGCTTGGGCTTTCAGCCCCACCATGGTCCCCTTCTTCCTTGCTTGCTTCTCTGTCTGATGTCATCTTTTCAGAAGTGATGGAGTCAGGACGCAGCCTACACAGAATATTCTCCAAGGTGATGACATCCACACCTTTTCCAGTAAATCAGTGCCCACTCGGTGCACCCGTCAGGATTGCAGCTCACAGTAAGGAGGGAGGATCATAGTTCAGCCCTTACCAGGACCCTCCCCCGACTCTGCCATAGTGGCCCACGCCTTTAGAGTCAGCTTCAAGGTCACCTGCGTCCACCCCAGGATTCCACCAGGCGCTGTTATGACCCTGCTGAACACTGCACAGAGGCTTGCTGAGAATCAGCTGATGTCAGAACCACCCTGTGAGTCTTTCCTGGAAAAGCCGTGGCCACACCTGCCAGAGGTGCAGACACATTCAGCGGCGTCCTGACTTTGTGGAAAGGGCATTCTGGAAAGCTCCCTGAAGTGGCCAGGGCAGACTGTGTGTGTGAGAGAGACGGGTGCTTCTCCCGGGTCAGCGGCCACTGTCACATCTTCCCTCTCCTACTCCACCAAAAAAGCCATCCTTGTCTCAGATCCAACATCTTGTCCAGCTGAAGCCAAGAGGTCAGGCCGCATCCAGGGCAACGCTGTGATGGAGGCCAGGCGCCCAGCCCAGAGAGGTCACCCTTTTCAAGATAAGCCAACCAGACTCCTGAAGATACAATTACTGGATTCCAAGTAAAAATGCTCTTCTTAGGTAAACAGAGCCACATGTTTGAGCCAGTTCCCGCCTTGCCATTGTTTCTCAACCCAAGAAAGAAGCCATATTCCCCTCTGGGGACTGTTCTTACCTCTAATCCCCCCCCATGACAGCTCATCAGCTGACCTCCTGTGTGGTTCTCACTCCTGAAACCCCTGTTCCCCGCACTGGGCTTCACATTTGCAGAAGTTCAGTGTGGCCAAAAGAATTTCCGTAGCACAGTTGGGTGGGTGACAGCCAACACCTCACCCTTTTCTGGAGCAGCCCGCCTCCTCACCCCACAGAATCAGGCCTCCACGCCGAGCGCCCTGGGAGCTTGGCGCGGGTCCATGCTGAAGGCCCGGAGCCCCGCGGAAAATGAGCTAATTAATGAGCGACTTGGCAGTCTCCGCAGCTCGAGGCAGAGATCATAATCGTTATGTGTGTGACGTTTTATAACCACGGACACCATGCGGTCCTCGCCTAAATTAGATGCTCTGCGAGTTTGGGAAGAGCTGACCCCAGCGGTGAGCATTTCATTTTACAGCCCTGGGCCTGCCTTGGAGTTCTCCACTCTTCTCTCGCCCATTATAACTTGTAATATTGTTTAAAATCATCCACTGGCCAGACGCCTAAAAGTCATTTGGTTCAGGTTGGCAGTAAATGGATTCCCCCCCACCTTCAGAAGAAAAACTCATTATCTTCAGTATGAGCCTGTATGGAAGAGGCTGGGCTGAGAGGTATAAAAAAAATCCATGGGACAAATGGTCCAGTTCCTTGCTTTTTTTTTCTTTCATTTTTTTTTTATCCAAATAATACATGTTCATAGTTTGAAAAAAAATCCTATCAGGCTTTTAATGAAAGCTGGCTGTCCCCTGACTAAGCCGTGCTCTCTGAAAGCACCGCTTTGAGCTCTCTTTTCTGCTGCTTTTACTCCATATCATCTAGCTGATAAAATGGTAAGAATTAGACTTCTCACTTTTAATATTAATTTAGAAACATCCACTGGCTTGCTGGGAATCCTGGGTGGTGCAATGGCTATGCACCAACTGATAGGTTGACGGTTCAAACCACTTCTTTTCTTTAATATTAATTTAGAAATGTCCACTGGCTTGCTGGGAGTCCTGGCTGGTGCAGTGGCTATGCGCTAACCGATAGGTCAACGGTTCAAACCCACTCAGTGAGTCCTCGGGAGAAAATCTGCCCCCATGGAGCAACCCTGAGGAGCAGTTCTTCTCTGGCCCCTTGGCGTGCTGTGTGTCCAGGTCAACAGCAGTCGAGGGTCGCACTGATGAAGCAGGACATTGTTTAGCCGGGCGCCCTGCCCCGCCGCTCTCCCATATGGTTAAGTCCCCATTTGGGGAAGGTTCTAACTGGACGTTGGCAGCCCTTTGGCCATGTTCGGACTCCTGACTGCTGAACCAAGTGTTACACCGTATTTAACATTTTAATTTTTTTCCGGTTGGCTTGAGGTTTGACTTTGCTTTGTCGAGGGAGTAGTCTTCAGTCATTTCCTAAGAAAAGGGACGTGAGGACTGAATATGTTTTTATATTCTTCTGTTGTTTGGGTTGTCTCTGTCTCTCCCAGGCGTGGCTAGGTGTCAGATTGCGTGTGGGGTAGAATCCAGGCTCCGTGGCAACGGTGGCAGCTCTGATGCTTGCAGATTCTTAGCCTTTATATGTGACCTGTGTGTTTCAGTTTTTCTCTTCCCGGTTGATGTAAACAGTGTGCACTCAGAGACAAAACAAAAGATTGGCAGTTTGAATTTGCTCGGGGGTGCTGTGGAAGAAAGGCCTGGCAATCTGCTCTTTTCACAGTCTCCCTTGGAAGCCCCAGGGAGCACGGTGCGAATCTGCACACCCGAGGTTGCTTTCCTAGTTATGCCACTCTGGCAGAACCATCCCAAGAGACGGGTCTTCAACCAACACAGTTTAGACGGCTAGAAGTTCACGTTGAGGATGCCAGCCGTGGGGGCAAGTTCTTGTTTCCTCTTAACAGCCAAGCTCTCTGGGGAGACGTCTGTGTGTCTTGGCATCAGTTTCCTCCTGGATCTGAGAGGCTGTCATCACAGAGGCCCGGCCTCCGGAAGACTCGGACCGCGCGCCCAGCTCTTCCTTTGTGGGAATGAGTTCTCTCCCCCGCAGCTCACTCTCTGTGTCTCTTATATAAAGTGAGGCGGGCCAGGCCCCGGGGGAGCCCTGCTTACGCTGGATCGGGGTTGTGACCCAAGCTAAGGGTGTCGCGCCCCACCCTAATCCCCTTCCCCACCATAACATGGGGTGTCTGCGGTCAGCGTACAACTGCAGATGATGTCATTACTTCACCGCCAAGCCAGTGCATGGCCAAGTTGACACCTCTTTGGGAGAGACACAAGTGAAGCCAGGCCTCTCGACCACGAGTCAGAACAACTCAGGGGCGTCTCCTTGGAAGTGGTTTGGGGGTCTCTTTAGCCCTAATGTTCTGAACTGTTGTGATAGTGTTGTGTCCTTGATCTTGCTGTACGTCGCCGTGGGCCCTCAGGGAATTTCATGTCAGTGTTCATGTCCCTCCTTGTTTGGACCTCCCACTTCAGTCTGATCCTCTTCGATTTTTTTTTTCTCTTCCATTTTTTTTTACTCTTTCCTATTTTTGCCCATTGGCTTTTTGACCCACTTGCAGCGAGCGTTCTTCGGTCTTGTGTTCCCAACATACCTGGCACGTGTCTCAGTGGACTATTAACTGCAGGAGCTTTCTGCTTTCTTCTTTCTGATTCATAGCACCTGCTTCCTGTTCTCTGGCTGTAGATTTTTACCCTATGCAGATATTAATCATAGTGTTGACCAAAGTGGAGTTTGCACCTCACCCTTAGACATAATCTGTTTATCTGATCGTGGGGGATCATTACAGAACTGCCGTATTATGTATTATCTCAGACGGCCTCGTGGTAAGAACCTGTACTGCAAGCCCAAAGGCACATGGTTCAAATCCACCAGCTGCCCCGAGGGAGAAGAATGGGCAGTCTCCTCCTGTGGCCTTTACTGCCTCTGAAAACCCTGAGGGTCATCTATGGGTTGGTTCCGACTCAGTGGCACATAACGGCAGTAGCTTTGGGCTGGAAGCATATTTAGTCTGCCACCCCCCTCCTCCACTGAGCTGTCTTAGATCTCTCTCTCCCTTCCCCGTAAACTCCACACTCGTCGTGTGCCCCACCTGCCCTCACTTTACTCAGGAAAATCACCCCCACTCATGTTTGCCGGTGTGAGCGGACAGGCTGAGTCCTTTGTTAGATGGCACTTTGAAACCTGGGGAACATTTTACCTGGCGTTTTGTTGTCTACCGAGCTATTACAGGACCGCTGGGAAGTGCATTATCAAATCTGACTTCTGAGGGGAGGTGAAACATTCCCTATCACCCCAAGCCAGGACTTAGAACCAGGGAGAAGATCTCACCCAAAGGACTATCACTCGGGGCATGTACT